TGTTGGATAACCAAAATGGTAGGCAATCAATAAGGACTACTAAAGGGAGAGAAGTGTTAAGGGATCAAAGGGTCAGATTATAGTTGTAGCGACCTCTTATTCTTAGCCATGGTTTCCTCGGACCGCCACGCGTGCGCAAGACATGATAGTCAAAAGCTCCGTTCAAGGTCACCCCCTGTCTGGCCTTCTCAAGGTCAGGAGCTTACTGCAGGGGATTGTTTACGCTCAGTACTCCCAGAACGGACGATCTACTGTTCGGTTGTAGTTTTCCGGACCCGGTGGTCTACTTACCGGACTGCGCCTCTGGACTCCGACCCATTCATGGCTGGACTGCACTTGTCTGGGCGTCCCTTACCCATTACTCAGATTCTACTCCTTCTAACCTTATTAAATCATTCATAACACTCTGGACTTCCACGCCTTGTCATATCCACTAGCTTATAAATGTTGGGATACGTTCAATTGCCTATTATCTGCTGGACCACATCGTATCCCACATAGTTATAAACATGAAGCAGAGAGGGGGGAGATGTCTGACAGTTAGTTCCTTTCGCACCACCGTCTTGGGAGGCGTCAGGACGCCAGTTGTGACGGTCTCGCGACAGCGTGGGCAGCGTGGAGATGCATCTTGTCACCGTCTCGTCGGCGTCTCGCGGCATGGTAGGAGGCGTGTAGACGCATGTAGAGTTGGTCTTCGGCCACAGGCGCCTTAGTGACGGTACAAACGCCTTCTGCGCGCGGAAAATCGGGTTAATTTTGTACTAATTGATTGGCGGCTGCAGATACCACGAAGTACCCCTTCTTGCTGGGGAGGAACTTTGAAAGCTTGTGGGGAAAATAGGACTACTCATGCCAGCCTTGCAGAATAAGCACAATCAGGTGCACAAATCACTATTCGCCGGATCATCTGTGCTGGGGATGAATTAAAAGGAAAGAAGGAAGGGGAAGTAACGAATCACTAGCATAACCTCTGATGGCGCAAATCTGAATAGTTCGGAGAGGAAGAAGAAGGAGAGGCCGTGTTCGTTGGAACAAGGATTATATTTGGTTGGCGATTGGAAGTCTACGAAGAACCCGTCAGCAGAGGGCAAACAGTAGGAACATTGAGCGCACAAGAGTTGGACTTTTGATAAGATGCAGTCGTCGTGCAGCGGCATACCTATAAGAATTAGCAGCTGATGCATCTGTCACGGATGGTCGTACTTGAGGTGATGATTACTAGATAGTCATCACTTTCCCTCCCAGCGTTGGTTTTTGGAGTGATGATTACGCGGTATTTTGGGTCGCCACTCCTGTCACTAGAAGCAGTATCTGGCCGCGCGCGCACTCGCTTCAGTGACTCGGAAGGCCGATCACAGGAGTAAAGTGGATCAGTGTGTAGTACCGCTCTCAACGTCTACATATTTTTCGAGGAGGAATCTAAAAAAAATTGGGGTCGGAAATTTCCTCAGTTTCTTAATTATTACATTTTAGAAGTCTAGGGGTCTTATCTGCGTTAAAGACGGTTCAGCACCCCCATACCCTGATGAGCGAGCGTCTGACTAGTTAACTTTCGATGACCAAAACGTCCGGGTGTAAATCCAAGACCATCAGGATTTGGGGTTGGTCATGGCTGTCTGACGGCAAACGGGTACCCCATTTTCCCTAGTCTTTGATGGTATTCCCCCCTCCCTGCGTTGTGAACATCTGCAACTGTCTCTGATGATGGGTTCGACTGGGAATCCGAAACGTCAGGCCAGTAAATGCCATTTCTCACCCTTTTCTTGTTCTGCTGAGTAAAGTGCTTATAATAGGGATGACAGGACGCACCAACTTGGTAGCAAAGCACATGGTATCACCTGTAACCTTCAAATATACAAATAACTGCTTAATGGTCGAAAATATGTGAGGCCCAGGTAATTGCATAGACGGCGGAAGAACGTTCGCTGGGACCAGTATCTTATTTGCTCGACGTTTCGGACTCTCGCTGGAGGCCATTGTCAAGGAATGAGGACATACAGCTCACTGCTTGATTAAGTCAACTCTGCCGGGAGTGACCTTGAGCCTTGCCATTGCTCGCGCAACGCGAGATAGGCATCTGGGAGATCGATATGCCTATTAATAGAGTCCGCGTGCGAGTGCCATGCTTCTTGCAGTACGCGTAACAGTTTAATTAATACTAAGCGGCTATCCCGCTCTGGCCGATGGAAGTTGGCCAAAATATTCATTTAAACTCTCGGTCTGCACCTACAAACTCGCCAATGGACTGATTTACTCCAAGTTACAAATAATTTCTGAGGGAATTAACAAGGAACAGAGTGCTGATAGAAACAAACAGGCGACTTCCAGGAAGCAGTTCAGAAGGAGAAGATGCGATGGCTGGAACTCTAACAATTCTCTGCGACTGTCTCTGATGATGGGTTCGAATGATAAACAGAAATGTCAGGCCAGTAAACGCAATTTTCTCGTTTGAATATGGCGTTTATCAGAGACAGGGACCTCAACAGAGACATTCCGATTTAACTTTTCCAAAAGAGTAGGGGAGTAACTCTCGAGCGAGTGGAATTTAACGCTGACCATTTGATCACCTGTTTGACCTTCTGTGTTATCGGCTGAGTCCTTAGTTGTTGTTCAGCTATCGTATAAATTTTATAGCGTACTTGAAGGATATTTGTATTTCATTTCAGAAGGCGGTAATAACCTTCAAATGGTCGGGTTCATTTTATTGAAGGCTAATGGAAAGAATGGGTAGAACTTTGAAGTATTAAAAGTAGACGGCTTACACCGTGACATATATATCTGAATATGAGTACTTTTCAGCTCAGTTGTCTTGTCTGTTTACTGAAAGATACAGGAAAACGTACTTTTACCAAAATGCCTTACGACGAAATGTTAATAACCTTACGTATATCGAAATATTTCTTATAGAGAACGCCGTTTCATAAAGAATCTTAAACATTTATGTCAGCGTGTATTAAGCGGAAGTACCTATCTACAAGTAGGCCCGATCTTATATTTCTATTGGTAAACATTATGCGAATTTGCTGCTGATAGTTACCACGATTTTGTGAAGCTGCAGTTTACTTAAAGGGACTGACAGCAGTAATTCCCAAATGAAAGCCCAGGACTAATAAGTCGGTGCTCTGGCTAACAATAAGACAAAGGCAGCTGTGTTTTTAGGATAGTGAGATGCAGGTGGGTGGGATAAGCCAGTTTTGAAGGCGTAGAGCCATCTGCAATGTCTGCA